CTCTTATAATAATGTCGGCATACATATTATATATATATATATTATATATATATACATACTATATAGGCCTATAATATTATGTACGCTGCTAATATTCATATTCATATAGATATCCTTTATATGAGGAGTGAATACATGGGTTCGAATCCTCCTATCTTAAATATTAAGGACGAACTTTTTACATTATACCTTTTTGCATTTACATTACGATTAGGCCTAATACAATGCGATTACATTATGCAATTATTCGCACGGACTTACGCATCATTATACTGTATGGCTTTTCACTTACTAAAACTACATATTATTATCCGGGCGGACTCACGCATTGTTGGAGATGCCTATTCAAGATGATTATAAGCCAATTTGTACATGTTTTACTATACCAGATCGATTTTGGTAGGCCTATCACGTTTGAATGACTCATAATATACACAGAGACAGTTAAAAGCCTGACTGAGGCGGTCGGGTTAAGTTGTAAACAAATGGAAAGAATTAGTATAAAATGACTAACTTAGAGCCGGTCTATATACATGTATGCAACAAATTATAATCATTTTAGAAGTAACTTGTGTGGAGTAGAGTCGGAATTAATTGTCAATATCATCATATAGAAAACTAGGACGATTGCATCAGAAACAGGTGGTATAACTTGTATTGACAAATCAAGTAATAGAAACAGTAATAATACATCGCAATTCATGGACTTTCCTTCCGTGAACGTGAACAACTTGAGGAAGTATTTAAAACACTGTTGCTAAGCGGTGCTGCCTAGAAGAGTATTCACCACAAACCTACAATGAAGGAACAAGGATCACCTAGATTTGATGCAGGTACAGTACCCTGAAAAACCCCTTGTTTTGACTAACAATTAATTTTATTTTGAGACAAGCTTTCACTAGAAAAAGTAAAATATAAAGGAATTAGTTAATTAATAGGGAAAGAAGTGTGTTGTGGCTGTTCAGTCATTTGCCGTTATTTTAAATGCATGTTTATTTACACAATGAGGACATGACAATTACATCAGTGACGGACAGTGGCATAATTTGTATTGACAAACCAAGCAATCGGATCTATACACATAGCCAAACATAACTTTTCTTCCGGCAAGTGATTTTGAGGAAGTATATTAACATGTTTCCCAGATCATTTAAAGATTACAGCGGAGCAATAATCTGACATGAATATCATTTGATGATTGAAAAATTAGATTTGTAAAAACCCCGACAATAAAGAAAAAATAAGAACGCTTATTGCAACAATCATAGGGCTAATATAGACTCAATGCTGGAAAATATACCAGTATCATTGAAAAAAAAATTAAAAACTTTAATTATTAAGGAATTACCACAGGGGCCGATCTGGGTTGACATTTGAAGGGCTGGGGGTGGGGTCACATTTTTCCTAGATGGCGTGAAATGAGCTTTCCCGACTTATGAGGTGTCTTTTATTGACTTTTAAGTTCTTCAAAATTCAAGGTTTTCCCCTCTTAAAAACGGTCATTCTCATTACTTATTACAGTAAATAGGCTATGCGTACATAAAGAATTTAGTAGTTGCATACGTAGTCTTGTTTCCATGAATCGATGGCCCCTAAATAGCACGGATGGGTCGGGGATCCTCTCCCGGGAAAATCTTTTATTCCTATATGGCTAGAATGAGCTTTCCCGACTTCTAATATTCCCATTGCAACAATAAAAATTCAAAAATCTTTTTTTTTTTTTTTCAGGACCTTCCTCAGATCCACCAATGTCTTCGAAAGTGTCTTCGTAAAAATATTTCTAAACATTTCGATTTTATGAAATAATAATTGTAGATTTATAACGAGAATTGTCACTCTGCGCTTCCTATCACGTGTATTGATAAATCAAGCAATCGAAACAATAATACAAAAAAATTTACAACGCTATTCATCATTTTTATTCCGGAACGTGAAACTTTGAGGATGTACAGTATATAAATTGACACGTTTGCTGGAACGGACTCACTAGGCGAATTTATTTATATAATTAAAGCGCTGGTCATGCGCATTCAATTTCTATCGGAGTTTTCGCTTCAACGAAATCTGTGTTCGAACTGTTTCTACCTTTGCGAAGCGCAAAAATTGCGCAGCCAATCAGAGTTTTCGATTCACGCGAATAAATTCGCCGAGTGGAAAAAACAGGCTTTAATGATTAGATCGATACTGCCTATAATAAAATACTTAGGCCATATCTATCATGAACATCATTTGATGATCGAAGAAGTACATTAGGAAAAACAAAACAATTGCAAGGATAAAGATTTGATGCAGGTATACAAAAATCCCTAAAAAAAAAACCTTATATATATTTTTAAATAAATTCATCAATTTGTATTATCATATAAAGTACCGGTACGTACAAATAATTAGATTATTTACTACCGATATATTTAAACATTTTACTAGCAATTTGTATTTATATAGGCCTATCATAGGCTAATTGCATTCTCTTTAAACAACTATATTTTTGTCTTCACACTAGAAAATTGTACGACCCCATTATATTTGATCATTATATTACGACAAATCTGTTGATAAAGCTATACTTTACCACTTATTTACAGTCTTGTTTATAACACAAAATATATAAATAATTCCAAAATACAGTAGGCCTATAAGCATTTATAAATATATAGCATTTACCTCGAAATAATTTTAAATTCTACATCACCATTAAAACATTGCAATTAATTCACATTGCAGCAATATTTTTTTTAAAAATTATTATTATTATTATTATACTTCCCTGCAATATCTGTTTGCAACTGTTTGTCATTGCAAGGAGGTAGGTGTGAGCGCTGGAGTTTCAAACATTTTTGGCAGTTCTGTTAATAAAACTCCCACCGTGACCATAATAATGATCGTGCGGTTAAAAGTACATGACAAAATCCTGTTTCACTTTGAGCGAACCAAAAAATTATGGACGTCATTAATTATGTTGTGACAATAACTTTGGAGTTGACAACCTTGGGCGTGTAAGCATTACATGTATTTGCTTTCTTTCCCCCGTGATTAGCCTAGGCACTTACAGAAAATAGGCTCCCAGCGGGACCGCGTGTCTACTGTTTGATATTTTTTTTTTGCTACTTTTAACTCATCCACGCTTTCTGTGTTGGCAGTTTACTTGAATTACTGAACAAGTAACAGAATGTTGATATTTTTTATTTCTTTCTAGGCCAAGTCTTATCTAACATGGCATTATATTTCGTAACTTCCTTTATTTTTTTATCTTTAGCTGATGACCTATCCACTCATTCCTCCATCGGATTTACTCTTACAAGTCAATTGCCAGACAATAGCAATGTGTCTACTGACCCCGAAGGTCCAGTGGATACAAAAACTGAACCGAAATATGTTTATACATGTAGTATCGTCGAATTAATGGTCTTCGACGATCCGGGGCAAAGCCAAGACTTATTTTATTTTATTTATTTTTTCACATAGCCTATATGTCCTATTTTTCAGTACACAATTTAAAGCAGCTTTTTGTGTTGTAGGCTTTACACATTCTAAAATGCTGTTTCCTTTTCATCTCTATTAGTTTCCTGGTCTAATCTAAGTTCTTTCAAGATGTATTCAACAACGATATTTAGAGCTGCATGGTTTTCAACCTGTTTTAACTTAGGGAGGAACGCGGCTAGCGTCAACGCCTCCAAGGCATCGGCATGTTGCAAAACATTAGCCAGAGGGTCTTCGAGTTTCTCGTAATTGCTTACAACTTTATTAGGAACTTTAAGATAACATCCAAGTTGTTTCCAATTTTTTGTTCCTAAAGGGCAGCGAGGATTCAGCTCAATGGACAGTTTCTGAAGCATGTCTATATCACACTCGGATACTCGTCTATTATATCGTTCGTCTGCAGAAAAAAGACATCGGA